ACTGAGAATGAAACACCGTTGAGAACCAGGTCCTGGGATTCGCGGTACCGCATGCTGTAATCGCGGAATTCGATGGTGCCCGTCGTTGGCCAGTCGCTGGACAAATTCACGCTGACATCGCTGTTATCTGGCTCTCGTGGCAAGCCGGTGTAGATGGAGTATCTCGAAAATCTACCCAAAGGGTATTTGAGATCCTCTCCGAGCTCCAACATATTACCAAGTCCTGTCAAGAAGAGTGAGACTAGTCGCATAGTCATCTCGACTGAGCCAGGCGTCGCATGACTCTCTGAGGCAACGCATCGGCGAATTGTCACCAGCAGTGCGGTCGCGCTTACAATAACCTTGAAGAGGTCTCGCAGCCATCTTTGTAGATCAGCAATGTCTTGATAGCAGATGCAGAGACTATTTCCAACTGCCAGGCCAACGTGGAACTTGTGAAGAAAGGTACCCAGAACGCCTTGGATCCTCATGACATATCCGCCAGTATTAATCTCCGAGTAGAGTGTATATGGAGAAGCAAGCCCCTGGTTGTCATAAATCTGATCTCCATATCTTCTCGCTATATCTGCCACCTGTTTGACCTTGTACGAAACCAGGACAATAGGAGCAGCAAAGAGCAGCAGGATAGGGAATCGACTGTATACTTGCGCAACGATACTCATGAACTCCATGGCTACCAGCATTTTCTGACATATGGTTTCAGGGAAGTAGTATCCTGTTAGTCTACGGTCATATCCCCACAAGTACATGAGCGATTCGCTCGGTAGGCTTTCAAATAGAACCAAAGGCATGCTGAGGAGTGAATCCAGGACACCGGCCCGCGTCTTCCTGTAGACCCTATGCGACCACAGAACCCTACGTGCCCATTCACCGACGATGTGTAACTGTGTCCGTGCGACACCAACCACAGCACTGGCGACAAGGTAGTTTTGCAGAGATGATACCATCGTTTCTCGATTCTCGTCCAAGAGCAAGTCCATCCGAGCGCTCTCAACTCGGTAGACAATATATGTGCTCACCAGGTGTAGCAGCACCGACGGACCAACAGCAGAGAACCCACAAAACATGATGTACTGCCACAGCTTTGGCCAAATATGCGTGTCCACACCACGCTCTGGGTCATATGTGAACTGTCCTGAGCCGGTAGACGAGTCGTCTGAAACTGCTGTTTGTCCGCTGTTTGCAGAAGGTATCACGCCCGCATTCGGCTGCGCTGGGACTTGCTTCGCAACGGTGGCACACCCAGAGACAAGCGTGACAACTCTGTCAGCCAAGGGCACAACATGCTCGGCATGAGTCACCAGAATCCGCGTCCTGCCACTGATGATCCCGCGTTCTCCGACAAGCACATTTTCAATAATGTGCCGTTCCACATGGGCATCAACTGCCGCCAGCAGGTCATCCAAAACGAAGATATCGGCGCGAGAGTAGATTGCCCGAGCGAGTGCCAGCCGCGCCTTCTGGCCACCCGACAGGTTTATCCCACGAAAACCTATCTCAGTTAGGTCCTGGGCCGGGAACAGCTTAATGTCCTCGGCCAACGCGCATGCATCGAGAACCGTGTGGTAGAACTTTTCGTCGAAAGGACTCCCAAACAGCACATTGTCGCGAACCGTTGCGTTCATTATCCAAGGCTTCTGGCTGACGTACCCGATCTTGCCAGAGACCAGACCGGTGCCATCTGTTATTGGCATCTCGCTGCAGATCGCTGACAACAGCGATGACTTTCCACTGCCAACACGACCGACTACCACAGCGAATTCGCCCTTGCTGATCCTGAGATCCATGTTCTTCAGAGCAAAATCACCTGTGTTCCACTGGAAGCTGCAGCAATCCATCAAGACAGCCACATCGTCAGCATCGTTTCGGCGCGCGATAAACTGGTAATCGTCCTTACGTAGCAGCATCTCTAGTTCTTCGGAAGTCTCAGAAATACTCATAATCCTTGTGGCCGAAGCGAGCATCGAGAAAAGACCAGTCAGGGACTCGGCAGATGACATGACCAAAAGTATATCCGCATATTCGATATTGTTCGAGGTGTGTAAGAACGACGAGACTGTCAATGCTGCTGAGATCTGGGGGAGAGAGCTTCCAACCAAAGACGTCACATATCTTGCGATCCGTAGGTGGGCAGGCGGCACGAATTTGTCTACTTGATCATCGTCCGCCACCTGCCTAAATGCCTCTTCCCAGCCGTAGAACTTGATGGTACGCATGTTGTGTATCAGCGAGAATACCCTGTGGCCTAGATGCGGCTGTTTGTTCCGCTTATGCGCCTTTTCTAGCACATCGAGATGTGCTGTTAGAGAATGCGATACCGCCAAATACACCAGCGAGGTAAGAAGCGGAATGATGGTACGCCAGCCGATTGTAGAAACCAGTACGCTGATTGTAAGCGAGTTCGCAAGCATGCTGCTTAACAGAGTCGTTGAGCGATCGATCCCATCCACTAATCTCATCAAACTAGTCCAAACAATCTTGAAATGATCTATCTGTCGATACTCGAGGGAGGTTTGCGACTTGAGGGTAGCAAAAATATTGCTACGCAGAACCATTATAATGGAATCTTTGCAAAACCTTTGTAATGCGGCCAAATATGCATTACCAAGTGAAAATAGTGACAATGCCATCCAGAGAGCGAATAGGCTGTAGACACAGCAGTCATCTGTGTTTGCATTGGAATCAACGGCTTTGATGATTCGTGACATAACAATGCTCTTTGTCAGCGGTACCATGGATAGGAGTGCACTAGCAACAGTTGTTACCAGCAATGGCTGCCAGAATAGCTCCAATACAGCGCGTAAAGCGAAAAACCGTTTTGTGATATCGAATTTGAGACGTTTGGTCAACTCGAGTTGCTGTGTGCAATATCTCGGATCCCAAATATCCTCCATCGTAATTTCACGCTGGGTGCAGAGGCGAAAAAAGGCGATAGTATCCAAGAATAGCAGACCGCGTACATGGCGTCTTATATGACACCTTGTGGCTGGACTGAGGAGAAGCGATGCCACAAGGAAATGGATTACAGCCCCTGCAACATGAACTACAGGAACCCTGGTGATAGACAATAGGACTAGACGGAGCGACCACAGGGCATGCACCATGGCAGCAATGTCGCTGGAGAACCTCAAGCTAGCTGTTCGGAAAGCAAGTGTCAGTGAGCAGAGAATGGCCAGAGTTGAGTTGAACTGGGTTCCAGCATGCGAATACCAAGACAGCAGACTGGTAGATGCGCAAAGGGTAATAATAACTGGTCTCTGAGCCCCTGCCAGCGGATGTACACCCTTAACCGCTGGTCCCCACAGTCCGACAAATCCGAGAACCAGAAGATCGGCGATGGCAGCTCCTTCCCTACAACGGTGAGGATGGGCAAGTCAGTGCTTGAGTTACGGACAAGTCGGATAGGCATTTTGCGATACCTTTGACACGTACAGCTGAAACGTGGTAGTGAAGCGATTCGAAATATCCATGATGGAGAGGGTGGTGCGAGAAAGAATAAAAGGAAGTTGGAGAAGAGAGCAGAGCAACTGGCATATGTGCTGGAGAATGAATCTCAGTGTGAAGTCGCTAAGCCAGAGTATTTTCCGGCTAGGTTGTCTATGCTGCGGCAGCTGCATCTCCTTTGCATATGGCCAATGGAAGCACTGGAGGTGTATCCGGAAACCACACTCGTCCTACACTATTCTGCTCTTGAGACAATGTGGGTTGTACTGGGCTGACCACTTTGCAGCAAGTTTGCTGGCTGGTGTTTTTATTCAAGGTGACTGAGTGGCTGAAGTGTGTATGCCTCTACAATGGCTGTCAGAAGCACATGCGCCAGTGAAATTATAAGACAGCAGGACATTGCTGTCGTGCATATACTTGGATGTCCATGGAGATGCTTTAGAGTTGTATCATTTCAACAAACATTATCCTGTTAACACCACCATAGCAATGAGTATGTCTGGATTACCTCAAAATCGCAAACCTTTCACTAACCAGATCCCAGATTGAAATATAGGTTGTGTCAACAGCACAAACACGTAAAGAAATATGTTTAACGATATTATTTCCAAACGCTCACTACCAGAGGCAGATTTTAGCTTCAAATGAACAATTTTGTTTAGATTAGTCTCTTACCCTGCGAAATCAACTATATTGCCTTACCAATTCGACATGTCTATAATCTATTGCGTATGTGATAGGAGTTGCAAAAGGCACTCGGATATCCACCCCCAATCTGTTCGGAGCAGGTATGGTAGTATACCAGAAACATATTGCCTACCTGGTTTCCGGGTATTTTGGACATTAGAGCATCGTGCTGCCGGCTCATATCGATGCAAAAAGATATTTTGGAGGCGTGCAGCCCAGAAATGCGCTCGAGACAGACGGAACAGCCGTGCCATGGCCAGGAGCAGCGGATTTGCGTGCACTAAGTGCTCATTCGTGAACCCAGCCCTAGCCGGGTGGCGGTGCAGAGCACAACTAGGGTTATTGGGTCAATCTCCTTTGTTCGCTCCAAGGCGCGGTGTGGGCCGACACCCGTTGTGCATTTGCGAACGCAAAAGTGCGGGCTTTGGCACCCACTTCAGGTGGTGCTGCAAGCCACTGCTGAGGGATGCGACCCCTGCCATGCTGCAGCCTACCGTGCCAGCTTTCCTTGTCAGCCGAGATGCACTCGACATTGCATGCTGGTTGCCCACAATTGGCTGTGAAGCAACGCCTGCACTGTTTCCGAAAATTTAATATGTCTATACGGGTACCAGGGTGTGCTAGTCAACGCATACATATCGGCGAGGTGCGTCATGCTTGTCGCGTCCATTGTAGGGCTGTCAAGAATTGACAAGCACTGCATCTATTGGCGCTCAGGAGTATATAGACCCGGTAGCCTGGATGCAGTGGAGCTAGCCCATCATCAAATCCATTTCTCCACATACCTTTCCACTATCATTTCACGCAGCCTTCTATCCGCCGTTTGAGCATACTCCATAGCATTTTCCGTTTGTCAACACGCCATAGCCATGCAACAGCCGGACAGACGGTGGGAGCCAGCCCCTTTCACCGACACCACCGACCTCTGTGCCAAGTCCCTCACCCGCACGTCGACCGCTAGGGAATATTCAAACGTCATGAATTTTGTCAGCTCGAACCCACACCGCGTCAACGAACTCTCTGAAGCAGTGTTTGGCACGCTTCTTCTCGAGTGCTTCGTCGAGTGCGATCGCATAAAGTGCTCGTGCAGCAAAAGCCATGACCGAGACTGGATGTGGAACCTAGGGTTCCTCATCGAGCGCAACAAGCTACATCTGGTAACCGAGTTCCGGGTTGTCATCTTTAACGAGTGTGAGCTACCGATGCACATTGATAAGGTGATGAAGGGTATGGAAAACAAACTGCAGTCGCCTTTGCCGAATGTGCGCTCGATTCTGTTTCTTGGACCAGGGGTGTTCACAGCGGGTACAGCAAAAGATGCGGACTCGATCCAGGAATTTAGAACAGCTGAGGCTGCTGCTCAGTCCATCCGAAAGCTGTTTCCTTGCGCAACTGATTTAAGATACCATGTATTCAGGAAATGGGTCCCGACACCTAATATCCTTGGAGCGGACAGAAAATTATGCCCTTTGTACGAATACACTCTCAAGGAGTATGCGCACCAGCTGGAGCATGTCCAGATGCTTATCCCGTTCCCCCTGAACGTGCCCAAGCTCTTTGACAACTTCACATCGCTTTCAATTAACATCCGCTACATACGTCTGCGTCGCGACTTGCCTGTTATTCCAACTCGGTGCCTGCGCATCCTCGAGGTGTTCCAGATCGAGGCTGTTATCCCGTGGCACCTCTTCGAGACCACCGATGGCGCGCTGAGCTTTGACAGCCTCCAGGATCTGCGCGTGGAGTTCATTCAGGCCACTGCGAATACTGCCACTTTTCCAGGCTGCAATTACCCTGTGCATTTCCCAAGGCTGAACACTCTCCATGTCACTGGCTCCGCCTACGTCTACACCGACATCTACGCCTATTTCCAGGGCCGGGTATTTGAGAGACTGACTATTATGGACGACCCGACGAACTTTGAACGCATCAACGAGCACGCGTTCGAGACAGTGAGGATGCTCAAGATTGGGCACCCTACTGGAACTCCGTTTGTTGATGTGTACTCTGTCAATATGGTTGAGCGCCTGTATCAGCTGCCGTCCAGCGTTGAGGTGGCCACCCTTGGACTGCTTGACTATCCGCTTCCGGGGCTGATTGCATGGGTCGACCTGCGCTCGCTCACACTGGCGGCCAGCATCGCGGACAAGCATGGGCTTGCCAACCTGCTGGGACAGCTGCCGCTTCTGCACACGCTCGTCGTGGACTGCTTCTCGATGATCCGGATCGACGCCAAGGTCACCAAGTTCCCGGACCAGAAGATCACATTTGACGAGATCGGCGAGGTCCTGGATCCAAGCAGCCAGCTGCCAGTCAGCGAGAGTCTCGAGCGACTGGATCTCTTTGTTCGCGGCACATTCGACCTGGTCGGTTTCTGCGAGCTGGTGGTGTGTCTTCCTCGAGTCACCAAGGTCAGGGTCAACCACCACATGATCCCGCACATCATGAGCATGCTCCACCAGGTCTTCAAAGTCAGCCGCAATATTGCCTTTGAGCCCTTGTCCTAGTATTTTTGTTTCCTCATGTTTATAAGTGGACCCTACAGGCATTCTTTGGAGAGCAAGCGAGGCGCTATATGGTGGCTATGCTTGTGAAAACAGCGATGCGCAGCTGTCTTTGGAGGCGGCTGGACGGTCGTTTGAACCAGCGGGTGTTGGTGGCGGGTATCAAGGCAAAGCCACTTCATCCCAGGGAACCGGTGAGGCTGAGAATTGACACGTTCCAGCATTTCTAACTAGCTAACCGCAGAGCACCAGATGCACCTTGGCTTAACAAATGGCTTGCTGTTTGCGCACAGTTGCCTTATTTGGCTTTATTATATGCAGCTCAGTCGAAAAATGGGCTTCCGGATGCAGTGTAGAGAGGTGGGGTCCAGTATAAGAGGCGGGAGTGCAGCACACCAAACACCTCTGCATTTTAGAGCCACATTTGATGAAAAGAGACGTCAGGGTTCGAAGTAGGCGGTTCGGTGCGCTGTGCGGGCGGTTCTGGTTCGCTGAGGAGAGATTCTGCTACACAGGCAGCCCTTGACAAGGGATGGTGGGCAAGTAGGGGCGAATGGCATAGAGGAGGAGGCGGTGGCATACTGGGGACAATTTGTATGTTGCGAGTGATATCAGGGAAGAAAGGGCTGTATATTGGCCAGTTGTGCTCTTACTTTGAGGCGTGCGCATGAATTGTAGGCCATGAGAGGGATAGGGAGGCCCTATTCTTAGTTGTATGACTGCCACAGGTTGTATAAAAAGATATATTGGTAATTAGCTCTGAAGATATCAAAATACTGCGCTCCAGCTCCCACATCTCCGTCTTCTTTAGCTCCAACTTTCTTTTCTCTATTCTCTCATCAGCAGAATTCTCCTATACCCAAGAAATACATTCATACCATGCTCTCACGGCACACAAGCATTTTTGTCTCATCCAACGAAGATACTGACACTGTCTCGGGGTTTGGCGAGCCTAACAATTTCTAGGAAGTACTAGATTCCAACAGGAATGTTTTCAGAGAGGGTAGTATGTAAATAACCCAAGTTTCTCCTTAGGGAGCTTACTAGACAGGTCGAATCTCTGCTGCACCACTATCTATATACCTTTCAATAAATTTTCTCCTCAACCCCAGAACACTCCAAACCAACAGATTTGTAGTGCCAAAGTTGCTGGTATGAAGACTGTAGATACGTGCCTTAACAAGGATATGTTGGTCAAGTCTACTGCTCAAACTCTTGAACAAAAAACTAGGAAAGGACATAGGCTGTCAAGGCTCTTGCCATCACTTGAAGGTTCATTGCTTAAAACCAATCTGCCTGGCCATGGAATCCTTGACTTCAAAATAGGTCATTGAGAGTGCTGTCGACCCAGGATTCCTCCGAAGACAAGTAGCAGCTGTTAATAGGCCAACTGTAGTTGTCGATGCTCATATTGTTGTTGATACTTTTTTTTCTTCATACCAGATTTAAGCAAAGGTATTGGCTACGCCCTAAGGTGATATGAGCGCTGTCATTCTATCCGGTTTCAGTTATCAGTCTGATTAGAAAACATATATACTTCATATTTGAGCTGATTGCAAGGACAGCTGTCACCTAGCTTTGATGCCGTAGCCATGAAGAAAACTCAGCATCTCTCGTTGAGTTCCTGTTGGACACTAGTCGATGGACTACACAGTTAGTCCTAAATCGGCAAGTCACTGTGAGGAAAATCCTGACTAGACAACCCACCAACTATGTGACGTTGAGTTTCTCTCTGAAAGAACTTTTCTTTTTCTTTCTTCTTTATCGGTTTAGCCGCTTAGTATTTTTTTCTCATTTCATATTTATAAAACTTTGCGTATAACGCCTCAGTTCACTTTAGTTCCATACTCTCAACAAGGTCTTTAAACAGCGAGTCCTGTGCCAACAGGTTGGATGGAGTGTCAAACTCGGCGACCCTGCCCTGATCCATGACTAGTATCCGGTCGCTGTCCATGACGGTCCTGAGCCGGTGCGCAATGATCAAGATTGTGCAGTCCTTGAATTCCTCACGGATAACCCGCTGTATGATTTGGTCCGTCTTTGTATCGACATTTGCCGTCGCCTCATCAAGAACCAAGATTTTGCGCTTCCAGAGCAGTGCGCGACACAAACTAACGAGCTGGCGCTGTCCGACGCTAAAGTTCTTCCCGTCATCCTCCACCCATTTGTCCAGACCTGTTCCTTCGACCCACGGGCCACTCTTATCGTCATCAATATCCCAAGTCTGTGTTGGTTTCTTGACAAGATTTTCGATATGGGCCATGCAAACTGCTTCCCAGACTTGGTCGTCGGTGAACTCCTCCAGCGGGTCCAGATTCTCGCGGATGGTGCCAACAAATAGAGCCGGATCCTGTGGAATGATGCTGATCTTGGAACGAAGTTCCTGGAGACCAACTGTTGAGATGTCCACACCGTCGATGAAGATAGAGCCACCTGCTGGCTCGATTAGGCGCAGTAGTGCGTATGTCAGCGACGACTTGCCAGCACCAGTGCGTCCAACGATACCAACTTTCTCCTTGCAGCTAACTGAAAACGAAATGTCGTTCAGAACAGTGTCCAGATTCTCGCGATACCTCATGCTGAAATTCCTGAACTCAACAGCACCATCGGTTGGCCAGCTCCAGAGTGACTGCGATTCCTCAATGGTCCTAGATCTCTCGTGCGGAAACCCGGTGTAGACGAAGTATTTTGAAAGTGAAGGCAGATCTTGCATAAGATTGTTTCCAGCATTGGAAATCCTCCTAATACCAGGCATTATTATCTCAGAAAGCCGCATTATCATCTCGAACTCGCCCGGTGCTGATAGTATTCCCGAAGTAGATGATTTCCAAGCAAGGCAAAACAGCAATGCAGATTTGAAGAGGATGAAGGACAGCTTATCTAGGATTTGATCGGTCTGGTAAAGAAAATTGGTACTCAATACAATATTGCTGTAGGTTGCAAGTCGAGAAACACATATTTGTAGATGTGTATCAAGGACTCCGTGGATACGCATTACATCCTGGCCACCAAAAAGTACGCTGAATGAAGTCCAGGGGTAGTATTTGGTGGTCGAGTAAAAGACATCATTCAGCCTTTTCCTTGCTTTGGCAACCGCCCGATCCCTAAGTGTCACTGCTATAATCGTAGGCAATACAAGCACAAATATTTCAGGCATCCGCTGAACACCATGTATAATCGCATTCAAGGCGTAGAGGGCACCTAGTACTTGCTGGCAGATCTGATACGGAAGCAAGTCACACATCTTGGCTCGATCCTTGTTGAAAAGGATGGCGATTTTTTCACTCGGGAGGCTCTCAAACCGTGACAATGGCATGTGGAGAAGTGTGCCAAGCAGCTCAGTTCGAGTATGCTCCCGTAAACGTGCAGACCACAACCCTTCCTGAATCCAGCCACCAACCATACCTAATTGGAGCTGAAGCATGTTGGCCAAGGCGTTCATAAGCAGATACACTTGCAGCGACTGGGCCATGCTCTCCCTGTTGTTGTCCATGATCAAGTTCAGGCGCAAGCTGTCAACGTAGAATGTCGCATAGGCACCAGCTGCTTGGATCGCAAACGTTACTCCAACAATATGCAATCCGCTCATCCTCAGATATCGCCACATGCACGACCACTGAAACTGCAGGATGCCGATCTCCGGGTCAAGGGTGAATTGGCCAGATCCTTCATCACCGTCCTTGGACGAATCTTCATCATCCTCTGATGACAACTCTGATGGGCTCTGAGTGAATGCCATAGGATTCTGCTCCACGATATCTCCTACGCCGTTTGTCAGTGCAATGATCTTATCCGCCAGCGGGACGACATGCTCGGCGTGTGTGACCAGAATACGCGTCTTGTCACTGATCACTCCACTGCCAACAAGCACATTTTCGATTAGATGCCGCTCGACATGTGCATCAACCACCGCCAGTAGGTCATCCAAAACATAGATGTCTGCGCGGAGTAAATAGCACGGGCCAGTGCCAGCCGCACCTTCTGTCCGCCAGACAGGTTGATGCCACACGGTCCGATCTCTGACAAATCCTGCGCCGGAAACAGCTTGACATCTTCAGCTAGTGCACACGCCTTGACAACGCGCCAGTAGAATTTTTCGTCAAACGCTTGACCGAACAGCACATTTTCACGGAACGTCGCATTCATGATCCATGGCTTCTGACTGACATACCCAATCCGACCGTATGTGCACCCTGTGCCTGAAACCAGCGGCATCTCACTGCAGATAGCAGACAACAGGGACGACTTTCCACTTCCGACTCTGCCGACAACAACTGCGAACTCGCCAGTCTTGACACACAATGTCGTTGGTGCAAGAGTGAACTTGTCAGGACCCCACTGGAATGCACACCTGTCGAGCTCTGCAGTATCGCCTACT